CTGCTCTCATGTCGCTCCTCCCTGGTGGCCAGAGCCCTCCTTCCTCTGTGGATTCTGCAGTGCTGGGTAGATAGGGAGCTCTTCCCTCCACGATGCCCGGGGTACATTCTCAGAGGTTATGCTGGTAAATCTTTGTTCCCTCTCTTCCTTGGCAGACTTGCAGTCATAGTCATCTGGATCCTGTGCCCAGGGATCTCACCCAGGAGTCTGTTCTCCATCACTGAATGCCAGTCTGCAGGAGATCCTGGCTTTGCAGTGTTTTGCTTAAGAGCAAAAAAGCAAATATGCTCAGTATTTGAAGACGGGAAGAATTAAAACGCTAACTTGTTTTGACCGGAGTCTGTACTCAGGTGAGCCTGACACGTGGTAGCCTTTAGGATCAACCATTCCAACTGGGATGTTTAGGAAATAATATGGTTCAAATTCAGTAATGAGTGTTTTGGGCATGTCTTAAAGATGATAGAAATGATTTATCTTTGATGTGTGATGACATCTAGAATATGATACATTAAAAACAATAAACTGAAGAAAAAGATAATCCTATTTATGACAATGAAAAATGAAACAGATTGTATATGTGACTGCATGAGTTCTGGCATCATGCACCCTGGGATTGTAATAAATATTTGTTTAGGGAATTTTAAGGGGATACAGAAAAACAGCAGGATGGTTATGTTAATATAAGTTGCAATATAGTAAGATTTTAAATGCTCCATTTAAACAGTGCAATAGTGAAACCTAACACAGACATTTAAATAAAACCAGTCCATATATGGAACTGAAATAAAATGTATGCTGTGCTTTGGGATCGCATTTCAAGGGTGTTGTTATTTTAAATGTTCCTTTTAGTGTGAGCCATGTTCCGTTACATAATTTTTATAGTTTTAAAAATGTGTTTGTTGTGTTTACATAACACATCAGGCATATTAAGTTTTATTTATTTCCAAGTAGAAACGAGCTATTTGATCTGGGCTTCGCTTCCTGTTTCCTTCTCATTGCGGTTTCTTTGGTGATGCATAGGTGGTCACAGAGAATTTTGTTGTCCTTTCCTCCCACTTTAATGAACAGGGGGTCACCGAGGCTGAGCACTGTCTCACATACAGGACAAGGCTGCCCATGGACTCCTCCCTGCCCACGGATGCACTTCCTGGTGGATGCCCCACCAGCTCTTAGACTGAGGGCAGAGAGAAGAACAGGTCCACAGCTAAGGAACCTGGACACCCAGAGGATCCGGGAGGGACAACAGCTGGGACAGTGAACCCTGGAAAGAGGGCACTGACCATAGATTTTGTATGTGATCCTCCTCAGAGACCCTCAGAGACAGACCAAAACCCCAGTCCCTGTGTGTCTTGAGGGCCCAGGTCCTTCCAGGTCCTCCTTTTGTCATTGCTCTAGGCTCCAGGCCTCCTCTTCCTATGAGTCGCAATGGACAGTCTCCTCTTCAGGCTGCACCCTCCTTACCACATCTGACCCCACACCCATCTCCTCCTCCCCCATAAGCCATGCCCTGCTCACTTCCATTAGCATTTTTGCGTCATTCTGGGTCTCAGCCTTCCCCAAGGATGTCTCTGCAGGATATCCATGTTGCAGAGAGCTCAGCGCTTTGACAGGACAGCTGGGCCTGGGCCACCTGAGGCTGAGCATGTCTCTTGCTTCTCTTCTACACCAGCTCTAGGCCAAGCCAGATCCAGCCTTTTCAGAATGCTGAGCCCACGTTTTCTTAAGCATCCAACTTCCTCTCTCACATCTCTGGGTCCCACAGGCTGGACTCTCCTTTGCTGTCATCGCTCCCACAGTTTCAGAGCTCAGGAAATGGCCAGGATACCTGCACCAAAAGGAGGTGACACCTGTGGGACCAGGCCAAGGGTTCCTGGACTTCTGGGTCACACAGCCTGGATTCTTTCTTTTCTTCTTTCGTTTTATTTATTTATTATTTATTGATTTATTTTGAGACGGAGTCTCTCTCTGTTGCCCAGGCTGGAGTGCAGTGTCGTGATCTCGGCTCATCACAACCTCCGCTTCCCGGGTTGAAGTGATTCTCCTGCCTCAGTCTCTCGAGTAGCTGGCATTACAAGCACCAGCCAACACGCCCAACTAGTTTTTGTATTTTTAGGAGAGGCAAGGTTTCACCATGTTGGCCAGGGTGGTCTCAAACTCCTGACCTAGGATGATCCACCCGCCTCAGCCTCCCAAGGTGATGGGATTACAGACATGAGCCGCCATGCCCAGCCAGGCTGGATTGTTTCTTGTCATTTCCACCTCATCCCCACCCACCATGTGTGGGCAGCTTATTTTGCTTCTTGAATCAGACTGATTCTCTGTCCATAAAGGAGTTATTGTCACTGAACCCTTACTCCGCTTTCAGTAACATAACTACAGCAGAAGCCTTGGCATGAACTGGTGTTGGTCACAGGCAGGGATAAAGGAGGGACGGGCAGAGAGGATGAGTGGGGCGGATCTTCTCTCACTTCTCCATGGGACAGGAACCCTTGGTAACATAGAGTCAGGGTGCAGCTGTGTGACACTGATAACCAGCCTGTCCTCAGACTGGAGCCCAGAGGTGGTCTAGGAGGCTGTGTGAATAAACCCAGAGCAGGAGAATCAGGCTGGGACCCCTGAAACACCATCACTGCTGTCCTAGGTCATAAACTTAGGGGCAGTCTCTGGGAGACCTCCGTAGCCATTTCCATGGAAATGCCCAATGTTTCCGCTGCTCCCCATGCAGAAAAAGGTGACATTGAGGTGGGGGGCTCCTCAAGAGTTTTCCGGGGAGGAGTCACTTGAAGCAAATATTGGGCAGTTTCTGTACCGGGATATTCCACAGACTTACCACTAGGTCCTGATTCAGTGAGAAGCTCCAATGGTGTAAGAAAGGAGAAGAGAACACAGTCAGGCCCTGAGGGATCAGGAAACCCACGCTCAGCAGTCCCCGTGGTCCTGAGTGGGATGAGCTGCAGGAAAGTCACATCCCCGCGAACTACTTCCCCCATGGCCAAGGAGCAGCCTCAGCCTTGTCTCAGCCATGGTGCAGCCTCCCCTTGACTCTCTCATGTCCTACATAGAGGTTCACTGGCCTCAGGCCCCCAGTTACCTTCAGACCTAACCCCATCTCCTGACATTTCCACTGAAATGCAGGTACCCAGGACTGAGCCAGGTCAGCTCTGTATCCGAAATTCCTCCCTGACCTGCATCCTCAGGCAGCATTTCATATTTGAGTGGCTTGTTCCTGGGACACAGTGAGCCTCAGACAGCCCTGAGAACAGACAACTGGCGATGGAAGGGGAGGTCTCTGCTTGTACGCTGGAAGAGCAGAGTCCATGCTGCAGGCCACTGTTCACCTGCTACCATGTCCCCAGGCTCTGACCATGCTGTGAACTAGGAAAGCCTCATTTTGCTTCTTTCAAAACAAAAGCCCAGCTCCACAGGCACTGGTGTCAGCACACATGGACACGCAGCCAACACTTCAGGGTCATCAGGTGCTTTGGTTTTGTTTTGTTTTACTGAGATGTCAGAAGGATGGATGGGAAATTGACAGAAGAGCCTTTAGCAACTGGAAAGTACTTCCAAATGTAGTTTGTCCCTAGGCCGGTATTTTAAAATTTAAAAATTGTTACAGAGCAAGACCCAGAGCAGGGTGAGATTTTGTCCCACTTCCCCATCTGTGTGTGTCACTGTGAGAAGCGCTGCTGCGCCCAATGGCACAGTAATAGTCAGCCTCATCCTCAGACTGGAGCCCAGAGATGCGTAAAATCCCTGTGTTCGCTGAAGCATCTTTGGATCCAGAGAAGCGACTGGGGACTCCAGAGCCCTGGTGCTTATCTGAGTCTGATTTGTACTTCAGAAGATACCGGGGAGGACTCCCTGGCTTCTGCTGGTACCAGTGTATAGTGTAGTCACCAACATTGATGCCACCACTGAAGGTGCATGTGAGACTGGCTGATGCTCCAGGAGATGCTGAGAGGGAGGCTGGCTGAGTCAGCACAGGCTGGGAGAGGGAACCTGCAAACACAGACATTATTGGGTGCTAAGGCAGAAACCAGGGTCAAGTTGTTCAGGGATTTTTGCCAGAAGAGTGAGAATCAGGCTGGGTGCTCGCCCTGGTCTCTGAGGCCTTTTCCTACCTGTGCAGTGAGAGAAGAGCAGGAGGAGGAGAGGAGTCCAGGCCATGGTGGACACAGCCTCTTTCCCCGCAGTAGGGCTGGACTGCCCCAGGCCTCCTTTTCTTCCCACCCTCTGCAGAGGAGGGGCTGCTCATGCAAATGTGTTTCCACCCAGGGACTGCCCAGCCCCTCCCTGAGCCCTGGGGGTGCAGCTCAGCTCACTCTGCAGACTGGGCAGGAGGAAGGTTTGCTTTTCTTTTTCCAAGGCCCTGGGAGGAAGCACCTGTTGAGACCATACACAGGTCCCTGCTCAGCGAGCTATTCCAGGCCAGAGGGGACACAGCTGCTGAGTCCCCATCAGTGAGCACAGGGCCCCGCTCCCAGGCCCGGATTTCTTTGAGTGAATGGTCTTTACTGAGCAGCCATGTAGCAAAAACAGGGCAGCCCCACAGCATCCAAC